TGGGCAGGGCGGGGCTGGGCGGGGCGGTGCTGGGCAGGGTTGGGCGGGGCAGGGCGGTGCTGGGCAGGGCGGTGCGGGGCAGGGCGGTGCTGGGCAGGGCGGTGCTGGGCAGGGCGGTGCTGGGCAGGGGCAGGGCGGGGCGGGCAGGGGCAGGGCAGGGTGGTGCAGGGCAGCGCAAGGCAGGGGCGGTGCTGGGCGGTGGTCAGAGTGCAGCGGTGCGGCGCGGGCGCCTTGAGCTACTACGGGCGGCGTGGGCGGTGGGCGGGCGGCCCGTGCGCCATCGGGCGTGCAGGGCGAGCGTTGCGAGGGCGGGCGTCGCGCGTGAGGGCGTGGCTGGCTCGACGACACGCCCGGCACGTCCGGCGGTCAATCTGGACGGCGGGAGCGGGCGGGCGGTGAGCGAGGCAGGCGCGGGTGGGCGCGGAATGGCTCTGGGAGGCGCGGGAGTGGGCGGGGCGGCGATCTCAAAAAAATGTCGTCGATCGCAGATCCAAGATCGAAGATGTGCACAACCATCGCCGATCCGAGATGCGAGATGAGGAAAACACGCATCTCGTCTCCGAGAGCAACTCAAATCGGCTCAAAGAACACAGCGAGAGACTGAAGAGATAGGAAGAGGCAGACGCCCAAGGGTGGGCGGCGGCTAGCACCACACTCCTCTCCTTAAAATCCCTGTGTGGTGGCGGCGTGCCGTCCTCCCATCCCTCCCTTGGGCTGCGGCCTGTTTTTCTTTCTTTTTAGCACAGGGCACGCACCTGGGGTCAAGAGGGGAAGGGGACAATCGAGTGATAAAACTGGAGGGGACTCCGGGCCTCGACACGAATGCGACATGGGAGGCGGAGATACCCGAGCAAAATAAGATCACGGGCCACACGGCGGACGCGGTGACATGATGGAGAGACAGGAGAGGGAACGACAGGAGGGGAGCCTCGGGGCGGATGAGACTCTGTTCCCAGAGATGAGACGCTGTTCCCAGAGGGAGCGCCCCAGAGTGCCAGAGACATAAGAAGAGATCACGCGCGTCAAGGCCGACGCAGGGCCGTGGCGGGGGATGGAAGTGAGGACGACCGAAGTAACGTAACGTTCATGCGAATGGCGCTGGCGTGCGGCGCGGCAGCGCGGTCGCGGCTTGGCGTGACATCGCGTGGCGGCGTGCGTGAGATGTGCGCTCACTCCTCCTCCTTGGTGCGGATCTTGGAGATGTACGCGAGGACCGCGGGATGCTGCAGTGCAAAAGCCACCATGTCAGGTCGGCCATGCACCTCCCCGGCAGAGTCGACGAGTACAAACGGCTGCGCCATCAGCACTGCCGAGCCGCCGCATGCCGAAGACAGCGTCGCGTCCGTGAGCAGTGCGCGGCGCAGCGCGTCGACGATGAGCTGCGCCTGCTCGCTCCGACCTGCGATGGGCCGCTCGACGCCACCCGCGCGGTGCGTGTATGCACCGGTCATCTTGGCAAGCTCATGCATAGCACGCCCGATGTCCAGGTCGAGGATCATCGGCCCGTCCTCGCCCTCCCGCATCGAGACGTCGCTCTGGAAGAAAGACTGGATCTCGCACTTGAAGAGGAGGCCGCCCTTCCCCTTGAGGCCGGCTCCAGCGATGATGGTGAAAGTCCCCGGATCCGCCGCACCTGCGCGTCATGGTCGTACACGAGTAGGCTAGGCGCGCGGGGTGATCGGCCATGGGGTGCGGCAGGCGCGAGCGGCGCTCTGCTGGCTTTTCCTCACGCGCCTGCCTCGGCGCGCAGCTCCTCAACGGTGACACGGGCGAGGAAGGTCTTCACCTGTGCCGAGGAAAGGGGCCGGCGGGCGGGTGGGCAGGGGCGGGGCGGGGAGGCGAGCGAGTCGGCCCACTTGTCGTCGTCGTGCTGCCCGGAGAGAAGGTCAACGCCGTTGGACGCGTTCTCGTCGCCGGAGCTGGGCGGGCTCTTGCCGTCTGCGCTGGAGCAGCCGCCGCCGGCGCCGGAGCCGGACTGGTAGGCCTGCAGGGACCGCTTGCTGCCGCGGCGCATGCTGTGCTTCATGGGGCTTCGCTGGCGCGGGAAAAAGAAGAAATGCGCGTATTGCGCTCGGGTCAGATGCGGAGCGGCGTCGGTTGCGGCGGGCGCCGTGGCCGCGAGGCGTGCGTATGGGGTGTGCCACCGTCCTGGGCGCGTGCTCCCTCCCTGGGGTGTTGATGCACCTGCAGGGCTCGGATAGCCGCCTCCGCCACGCCTCAAGGACGGACACGGAGCTGGACTCTCTCGTACCGAGGCGAGTACGAGCTGCGCACGCGATTCAAGGCGCGAACTCTCCCAGCCTGCCCCTCTTCTGCGCGCGCGCGCGCCCGACGGGACCTGCATCCCACAGCTCATTCGGGCGCACAGCCCACCTGCGCCCTGCAGCTAACCCGAGTACAGTGTGTGGGAGCCCATTGCTGATGGCCATCACACCATCTGACCAACCCCCTCGCCCCTCTTGCGCAGGTGCCTGCGACGTTATAGTGGACCGCCAGGTGTGTGCTGTGCAAGCGCGAGCACGGCGTCGACATCGCCATACGCGTCGGCGTGCACACGGGCCC